ACTATATGTACAAATAAATAACAAAATTGAGAGTGTTTTATTTTGCTTAACTTGATCATATTTTATACTCGAAATTATTTGATTAATATTAGAAGTTCAAAGAATTAATTCCATTGATTGATAAGCTTTGGTAAAATCAGAACAATCAACAGTGGAATGAAGAAAATTTAAAGCATTTACTATACTGTAAATCTTTTATATAAGCCTTCATTTCATAAATATTTTATGAATGTAGTTATATGAGAAATGTGCATAAAATAATCCAGCTTACAAATAAAAATATTCATAAATACTTCCCATAGTCAATTTACGTGGGGTCAGTATATGTGAGGGTTTATAATAGAATCAGCCTCAAGTAATTTATAAAAATTGTTGTTAATAGAGTGCATGAAATGATATCACTTGCCTCAATTTCGAATCGTCAACTAAATCCTCCGGTCAAATGACCAGTGTAATTTTTGATCTCTTGTTAATTACGGAATTACATCATGTCGTTTAGCAAAACGAAATACATAGTAGTTTGATATGTCATTACCATGATAACGATTTATCTTAGTATTTCCTAGTGATTTTTCAAAGTAAATGATATATCGAGGACTTTCCAAGTAAGTTAATAACGGTAAATTATAGCACAACGCGATTCTAATTTTTGCCATATTGCAAACGACTGAAAAAAAACTTTATGACAAAGGTGAGTAAAAGTCTATCGGAATAATTTGACCAAATAAAACGATAACTACCAAGCTCTTATATCTCTTGAGACAGATACAATATGATTACAGAAATATAGATTAACCGAAGCAGGGATTCTTCTACTTATAATCTGCCAATGTGGTTCAGATTTATAACATCAACTCCTGAAATCGAATCTAGTAACGTAGAGACTAATGCTTTTGCTACCAAATGCAATCCTTAAAAGGCTGATAAATACTGACTACTAAGAACTACTTAAAATAGCTACACAGTATTTCATTATTTCGTAGTTATTAACTTGTTTTAGAAACCATTTTCATTTCTTAATAAACATTTCCTCACATTTGACAATATTGTTTGGTTATTATTCCTCAGATATGCTTTCAGTCTATATATATATATATAGTGCAGGAGAGTTAATTGATCATAGTGACTACTTTATATTTTATTGGTCAAATAATGAGAACACATTAATTGTCTTCCGTGATTTTACACCTCTCATTTAGTTAAAGTATCAGAGCTTAGAACCAAGTTGTTTTGTATGTAACTTTCACACGAAGTAGGCGTCGTCCAGAATGACAATGAAAACTTTGCAATAAAGCCATCTAGGTCATAATACCACAAAAAACATTCACCAGAACTGAAAATCTCCATTATCCCATAATCACGCATATGTTCCAACATTAGTGATTCATAAATTCTGCCTAGACTTTTGCGAAAGGAAATGCCAAATAGCGTACTCAGCCCTATAAAAATTAACTAGTAAACGATTTTTTCTGCAATCCCTTGTCATTATTTAGGTTCTCTTCATTTCGCTTCTCTAAATAATTTGTACCTTATAATATATCTAGGTTACCTTAATAATTAAAACACCGACCTCCGTGAACCCCTTGGATTTCCAGGCCTTGCCTCAGAAGTGCGGTTACGACGACGTAGCCTCCAGTACAGTACGACGATTAACGTCACCTACACACAGGGGTAAGACTACAGTTGGAAATCACTAGACGTGACACTAGTAAAATATCATGAAGAATAGGGACTCAGTTGGAATATTCATAACCCTATAGAAAATGATGTCTGGATTTTTATTTTCAAGTTCCAACTGGATGTCAAGTGATTACAAAAACCACGTAAGTCGAGCTCATTCCTGTTAGATTGTTACATGAGGGTTTACGTCTTACCTTTTGCATTAAAACTATCAGTAATCGGAAGCAATCATAAAGGTTTAATTCTCAAAATTGTGCCAATCACTTTTTCAGGAGTGATTCATTATGGTCAAGTTAGTTACGTCCTTCCCCACCAAAGAATTGAGGACTTGATGTTCATGGTTTATTCCAGTGGATAACGAGAAATTATCAACTGTTCCAGTCATCTGGTGTCAAAGTAGAAGGCTGACTCATTTTTATACACAATGTCTTCACTAACTGTCCACTTTTCGAGCTATGTGATTCATAAATGCGAAAATAATCCCATTCTAGTTAACACTGGCACATTATTTGTACATCTTGCAATCATCACAGACTACCGTTGAAGATAACTGTATACACTTCGGCAGTTTACAGATAATTTCCTCTTATTCCTTAACGCGTTTGAAAGAATGTCTCACATCACGTTAGTTTGTAGGATTTCCGTGACTCGCCCTCAAATACCCTGGCACGGCTGAGAGTCCGCTCTCCCTCTCCAAATGCTCTCACATGGTCACGCGTACAAAGCCCTGCCAGGGAAGTCCTACTCACTGCCTTCTCGTGGCGGGGGTGTTGTTTACGAAAATGAGAGGAAGAAAAGTGAATGTCCGGCGCTTTAACCGGTTTCCAAATCAATGGTGCACATGGGCTCCAGTATCCTACGGGAACAAATGGCGTATGAACCAATTGTTGGTCACCGGCTTCCATGGGACTGCATCACCTTACGATGCTCTACTGCCTTGTGGATCAGACCTCCAGGCCGAAGGCTCGGGGAGTGGCCCCCTAAAAAACCACCTGCTTCGGTTTGGGCACCCGGGCAGTATCACAGCCCTCACACATATCGAATGAGATTTGTATGGCGCATATGCATTTGGTGCCTCCTTGTACCAATATCTGTGTTTCCGTGACTCATTGGCTGATCTAAACTTCCTCCTCAAGGTTAGTGGAAGTGTTTGTTGATGTACTTACACCAGACTACCTGTGAATTAGAAACTCTGATGTGGTTAGGCTTTTGTAACTAGTTTTTACGTGTAGTGAATTTGGTTGAACAGCTGTCAGTTATAAACAATGTACGACTGGCAAAAACATGCTTCGGCCTAATTTTGCATACTCTACATCAGTACAGTAACAGGACTCTACAAACATGAAAAGCAATGGAACCAGAACAAGAGCAGTGGTATTGAGAAGTCGAATATAGGAGATACAGTTCTAAAGATTAATGAATGCATTTACGTCGCTGAGATCAATTTTGGGCCGTAACCCGTGGTCATCAACCAAAAATTAAAACTGTACAGCAAACACCAAGTGGTAAACCAGTACATCCCAACATATCAAACGTCTATAATTAATAAATCCATTGGTTGGTGCATTCTAGACCTCCTCTAGACCCCCTAACGCAGATGTATGCACATATTCGAACCCAAGAGTAGCTGGGGTCAAACAATATACCCCAAGAGGAATCTCTTTCTAACCCTCTATAGTAATAACAATTAACAATAATGGGGTCCATCTATGTCTACTGTTAAGACTGAGTGGATGGTTGTGTACTTGTGATTTAGACTTAGTAGAGAAACATACAGATTGCGGCGATGATCCCAACGCTATTTTCGGTGGTATTTTGATTGATATAATTGTTCCGAGGAACTATTAATGCTCTCAGTTAAGTGGTTTGAAACCAGAAATTCTGTTGTAACCACAGTCTGGTAGTTAATACATCTATCACTGTATTAAAGTTGACATCCAACAAGATAAACAATGTCTATTCTTATACCAGAAGTTACTGCTGACCAAGAGACAAGTTAGTTTTAGTGAGGACAGTAGTCATTATCTGTTCATGTAAGCAAAATTGTAGGGATAACGTCTGCTTGGACCAACCTCTACTTAAATCTTAAAGTTGCACAAAAGCACACTGTTATATTGTAAAATTGTCGTTAAGAAAATGTTGACCGTTGGAAGTCCCTTTATGATTATCAGACAATGTAACCGAAAACGGTTATTTCTATGTAGACCCCTTGAGCTGATGTGACTAGTGAAAGCATGAGATAACTTGTACAAATGAGTGCACTATGTACTTGAATTTGTAACGTATTTTACGTGGGAATCTGGATGCTAATCACAATTGTTCGTTTGTTATTTTTATGAACTCACTACAGCAGAACCTACGTTTAAGTAAACCTCAAACAACTTGGAGATGGGTCCCACAATACAATATTGAGGACCTAGGTTTAGTTAGCAACAACAGCAAGGCGAACTTGGCAGGACTTCAACGGTCATGTGCAAAAGGTAGACAGCCACCACTTAAAGGTAATTCAGGGATTACAGCAGATACGTTGTATGCAGTCTCATCAAACTATTGACGTCAGTTCATGGAGCTACACTGGAAGGAGAATAGTCCCTGGGATAACAAATGATTTGAAATTATCTTATTATCGATGACCAAGGAAACAATTAAAAATCGATAGGATAGTGAGGGTTCTCATGCATAGCTTCTCATGAGAAGCTATGCATGAAAAGATACTGGGAATTATGACCTTAAGTAGATACATTTGACTAATTCTCAACATCACCAGGTAGTCTTTACCTACCAACGTGGTCTGGGTCACATTCGATGCACATCTTGGTTTCTTATAATTATCAAAGCTACTCCTACCCCAGACAAAATTGCGTGTCGAAGTAGGTGATTAGGGATATGCAATACACACACCAACGAAGATTCACAACTTCATTACAAAATTGCTATCTTTTTCTAGCACATTGTCCGACTTATATTGCTAAACAGGTTGTTCCACGATATGTAAAATGCTCTAAAGACATGTGGTTAAATGCCTGTAGTCTACTTTTATGGACTGGTTCACAGCCATAGAGAGCGGATTGCTGCTCAAATTACATGCCCTCCGGTTGGAAAATAGATACTAGGGGGAATAGACTTGTCTAGTCGCGAGAATTACCAGTCACAGATGAAAAATGAATAGGTACTTTTGACCAGCATATAGACTGATAATTTGGGTCGAAAGTTGGCTTTTGCTAAATACATCTAAAAATGGGATATGTGAACAACCGTATTACGTATGTCAGTCAGTCAGCTACGTATGTGTGAGGTCACTACACTGTAAACACTCCGAATTTAAGACGGAAATATATGCCATTTCGGCGAATGCATTTTGGTAGGATGATCACACATAATCACCTTATAATATTTGGAAATAGTAGAAGTTACTCAAGGATAAACGAAATGAAAGCTTGACATATGAGCAACTGAAAAAAAACGAACGCAAGAAAATGTACAGATGATATTTTCGTGCAAGAGATACACAGCATCTGAAGAAGTGGTAACTCTTTTGAATGACCACAAAATTGAAATGTTAACATGCAGTTAAAACCCATGCAGCTTGACTTCCTCAGGAGTGACTATGTTCATCTCACATAAAAAGGATTTCAGATTATCTCTCTGATCACCTTGGAACTGTAACACCTCTCCATACTCTTCATGTTCAACTACTGTACCGTTACACGCAAAATGTTTCTTGCAGTACTTCAAGATTTTTCGCTTGTCAAATTTCTCAGGGATCCCTTGGACAGTAGTAAGCGTTTTGCGGCCATTTCGTTGCTGTATTCGAATATGAACAATCCTGCCTTCAACATTGGATTCTCCTTCTTCAGCAAAAGGGTCTTAACACATAATGTGACAAGTACGTTGTATAACCTACCATACGTCTGGAGGTTTTGAAAAGACATCAGTAGCGCACTAAAACACGTCGAGCGCCCTCGGTAATCGGACCATATAAACAAAACAATGAGCTGTACAATAAGGCTTCAAACTGTATGCTGCTAGAACTAAAAAGCCACAAGACACGTGAAAATAGCAGTTTTAAGGGGCACAGTGGTGTAACTTCGTAAAGCAAATGATTAAATTGTTATAGATGAAATGGAAATAAATAAATTACCAATATAAATAGCTCTGTACGTCTTCGACATTGGATGCGGACAACATTAGTTTTAATGGACTCACCTAGCAGTAGGCGCTCGGTCATGCATCCGCGCCAGATCACAAGTGCGAACGTCGTGCTCAACATCCCCTGCAATCGCTGGCCAGATTACATCAGACGATTCTCGAGGGTGAATTTATCCGCAACGCAACCATGTTAAATTAATGTATCGCCCAGTGTAATAATGGTCATCTGTGCGTTTAAGTAACCACAGATTTTGTCATTTAATAATGTATTTTTAGTTAAATAACTAGATTATGTTGTTAATTTCGCTTTGTTTTTAATTTTTATTCTCCACGTCCGACTGAGTTACACTGTACGTTCATTGCATGCTGGAATGATATCTCAAGTCATAGTTAGTTTAATCACATAGTTGATTGTTTCCAGATAAACCGTCAGTGCATTATGTTACTGAAGAAAGGTTTGTTGTACTGTAGACTATCTTTTTATGAACAACTGACTGTTGTCTTCAGTAAGAAAGCAATATATCTGTATCCTTCGTCTTCTGTTAGGTAAGTTCAAATTGCCTATATTTCGTGTTTTGGTTTTATCGGTTGAATTATGTTCATTTTACTCCGTTTAGCAACATGCCTGTGCAAATGGAACAATAATTATGACACTTGCTTAGTTTAGTATTCTTGGTTGCCGTTATAATTTAGATTAGTCGATAGAATTATAGTATACTTAAGTATAGTGCTTGAAGCTTGTAACGAAACGGATCAGTTAAGTAATTAGAGCTGCCTGTTTTTAAGTGAGTATACTGATTCAAATCAGTCTAATTAAAAATAGGGAAAAACTTGCCTTTGATGCTGTTGCTGTCATATATTATAAGATAGCTTTAAGTACGTTTGGTTTTTATTTGTAGACAGTACGTCTAATACTGTTCATGTTTCAAGACCACTGTCATTAAACAATTTCCCCAGCAATAACATCGGTAGCAGGATAACTAAGTGTCTGAGCTTTTATTTGCCTGCAGAAGAATAGTATACAGTCTTAGAAGATGAATGTTCTGTGTCTCAATTAAATGAAGCTGGCTGTGGACAAATGTTAAGAATCTTTTTGACAAATGGAACTTTTAGTTTATCAGACACTAACTCTACTTGTATGTCTTCCTGTTCAACTAGATGCAGATGTATGGGAATACTTAAATGAGAGCAAAACAATAAAAGCATTGTGATACGGTACTAAGTCCATGTTATGCTTTGCACAAGTAATAGTAACTAACCTGATCTAATATTCATGAACTCAAGGTAAGTCACAACTGCATAAATTCTTTGCTAATAAACATGTAATTTGGTTATTTATCTATTCCACATTTCTGACTAAATTCATTACTATTTTCTCATTTAGAATGCAACAGGAGTGAGCCTTCACAGATCCTTTCGTCTGGAAAGAAACAACAAAGACTGCAGTTTAACATTACCAGTGCAACTTTTAAACAGGGGCTTCTTTTAAACCTTTGTTTGATATTCGATTCTTAATGAAAGTTCCAGAATAAATTTTTAAATCTAATGCTACTTTGTTTTATATACTTAATCGTTGCAAGAAACTTGTGATATACGAGCCTCTCAGCATCTAGTTCATATGTAGTAAATTTAAGTGATTTAGTACATATCTTCGTCCTTTTCTTGGGAAACCTACAGACTCGGGTCTTCTCATAATTTATTCTAACCACCATGAGTTGTCACGGCAGCTGATGGATGTACACGCGTTACCTATCCTAACCGTATCTGCGTCTAGTCTTATAGCTCCCTATTCAAATGCCATATGATAGGCAAGCAATGCTGCATATTGCAATTTTATTTTTCAGAAGTAAGATATAACGGTTAGAATTGTAGTAAAATGGTAGTATACAGAAGATGCACATGGTACATGTCTTCATCGATTAACTGAAATGGAGAATACGGATATTAGCTTAACAGGCTTATTTAGAAAGACTATTGTCTACTTTGAACTTACTGTGTGAGAAAGTTATACTGGAACTACGAATAATGTAGGAACCTAGTCTCCCAGGGCGTACGAAGTACTCAAACTGGAAGACAGTTGTTTAAAAATAATTCGAATATGAAGGTGAAAATTTGCAGGTACTTTTCATTGTAAGGGTGAACATATTAGATACCGGTTGACATCATACCGTAAAAAAACACAAATTTGCGAGTGGTGAAATATGATCTATAAAAAAGTGAGCTAAATAACATTTAATTACCTTTTTACTCCCTGATTATGACCCTTCGGCTTCCTTTTATGGTCAAAACAGCAAACATACACTACATACTGATAGCAGATTTCCGGCTTTTCAATGCTAAGCTTGCTTTAACGCACGACATAATGAGTACAACCCATCTATTACTGCTATATGACATATCTTTCATAACAAAACCTCTGCAATAGATTGGTAGCATCTGTGACTTCATCTATGGTTATCGGAAGTCTGTGTCCTTTCGAAAACAATACTGATATCCCCTACTGCTGGACACTCAGTATTAGTTTGACTCATTGGTGGGATAGTGTTGTCCATAAAACTGAAGAGAATTGAGAACCGGAGATTGTTTCCTTTCATTTTGCCGATAACATCATAAAGCACAGTTAAGAACGAACATGCAGACAGTTAGTCACAGGCGTCAGCAACAATTATTTTTAGCTAAAAAACGAGCTTCGACTTTGGATATCTAGAAAACAAGTCAAAACAAAACCGATAAGACTAGCCAGCTTGGCTGAAGAAATACATTGACTTCAGTAGCAGCAGCCAAAACCCAGAAAACAAAGCAAAATGAGGAAAAATTTTGCTCCAACATGCAGAGTATTAGATTAACTTCTGCATTTTAGCACACTGAAACAATAAATTCTGTAGCTACACAAAAGAAATAGCTGAAAAAAGCATAGAACGAAGAAAGCCGACCTCCATCGCTTACGAAGATAGAGGATATAATAATTCCCGCCTCATTCTGATTGGTTGCTAAACTGAAGGCCACATTTATGAAATTGAGTTGCGTTTAATAGCAGCCATTCTCGATATATTGATAGCCTATCAAATATATCTTCGAACCTGCTCGCCTCTGTCCTTTGATTTCACTTGGTTGGTATGATTCATAGTAGAAGGTGTTACTGGTTAAAGCGTTGTCAAACTCCAAATACCTGTGACATCTTCACTTTCTACATATTTATAGGTGGTACTAGTAGCGTCCCAGCCCCGCTCACTAGAGGAAGAGGTCTAAGTTTGGAATTGGGAAGTATATTCCGCAGAAGCCAGAAAACGAATAATAAGAACAGACACAAATTCATTCGTATATATACAACACAAAACCGTCCCTGGGGAGTTACAAAATAGTATACTAGAAGGCACGATGGACTAATGGCATTTAAGATTCCCCCAAGTGGGAAATATGACATGAAGGTGAAAAGAGCGCCTTTGGTGCGAAAACAAAGAAATTCAAATTTTCCAGATAAAACTAAAATTAGGTCCTTTTCCAAGTGAATTCTGGCGATCTAACGTCCCCAACAAAGGCACACAGAAGGCGTTATCATAAACGGGAGGCCAGATGTAACTGGTTAAAAACCCCGTGGTATTACTGAACCGAACCAAGAGTTCAGCTGGCCCCAATAAGGACCGAGCTTTGTGGAATAAGTTTAATCATGAGTGGGTCGCAACAACGAACATAGGATCGTCAGTTGAAGAAAATGGTCCGTATTCAAGGGGAAGCATAGCTTAAGTAAGTTCTCATTTATTTTATGCTTAGTACTACGTAGAACAAATAACTGTGAATAGCACAGATCCATTTATTATGAGTCTGTAAACACTTGTAGAGCGTTAATAAGTAAGACTGGACTTTCATTTGAGAAGCGATTGGTTAGGGATTGTGAAAATAGTCCAAAAAGACTAGTTTTGCTTATAAAGAGGCAAACTCAGAGAAGTGATGGGATCTCATCACTTACGATACATGAAAATCCGTTGATATTTACAAGAAAAGATGTTGCAAAAGATGAAGTTTTATCAGAATATCTCAGCAAAATGTTTTCTGCCGACGATGGTGAGAGATCAGCACTTAATTATAATGGCGCTTTGTCGATGGACCTTGTGTCTATTGAGGGAGAAAATGTCTTACTATTACTTCATGATATCAAACCAGGTGAGTTCAGGAGTCCTGACGATATTCACCCTAGGATAATGAAAGGACTAGCGGATGTAATTGTTGGACCTTTGGCAATAGTGTTTGTTTGGCAGTTCCGGTTTCCAAAGCGCGGAGTAGAGACTTAGCAACGATCGACCCGTTAGTCTAGCCAGTGTAGTTTGCAAAACAATAAAAAAGGTTATTTGGATGGCTATCCTAAATAATATGGAAGGGAATAATCTCTAAGACAGGGAACATGGTGTTTGAGAATGAGTCTATCATGCTTGACAGACGTCATCATAAGGGGAGATTGGGATTGAGGCGGAAGATAGTAATATTTTGGCAGATGTAATTTTCATAGATCTAAGTAAAGCCTCTGACAAGGCCTCGCACCTGGGTCTTAAATCAAAACTGGGATGTTTTTAAATCCATTATGAAATCATAAACTGGATAAGTGACTTTCTTAATGATTGGAAGCAACGGGCAAAGGTGAATGGAACACTGTCAGTGTGATGCTCTGTGAAAGTCGAGTTCCTCAAGATACAAGCCTTGGTCCTCTTTCCTATTTACTTTATGTAAATGACTTAATAATTGTAATAGTTATCCGTCCTACTTTTTGCAGATGACATAAAATTTTAGGCATCCATACACAGTATGTCATACAGAATAATATCACAGGATGACTCAAACCCCCAGATTGAACGGATGTGTAGGTGATCACTAGAACTGAACTCTAACAAGAGTACGGTGAGGCAAATAAACAACTGCGAAGACTCACTACACAGTTTGTGGAGTTGTGTTAACCAAAATAATGGACTTTGGTGATCTAAGAGTCGCAACAGGTAAAGACCTTGAAACTGCTGGCAACTGCAATGTTACTTCTGATAAATGCTTCAGGATCTCATGGGCCATTCGTAAATCATTTTATTATATGGACGAAGAAATATTTAGGGTATTTTACATGACTTAGTGAGGCCGCAGTTGGAGTATGGTATCTAAAAAGCGATTCCTTGCTTCGAATGTGAAGCGAATATGTAGAAACGAGTTTAAGAGCAAGCAACCAAAAACGGCGAAAAGTCTCGCTGGCCCACCTTATGAAGACAGACTGAGACGCCTCAACCTATTCCCATTGTCCTACCGCGGGTTACATGATGATCAAATACTGGTTAACCGTACACTGGACAACGATCTTGGTATTAGTAAGCCTCATTTTCTTCCTCCAATCTCTCACTGATTATCTGAGAGCACATTCTAAGGAAGTTCACAAACCGAGGTCAAATCGTTTACGTCTGGAGTTCCGCTTCTCTCACTGAGCAGTAAATTACTGGAAATTTTCACTAGAACACATAATATTGGCAACTGATGATGCATTAAAAGTGAGGATGGATCTTCGCAGCATCATGAATTGTGAGGATTAATAGGGATCGATTAACCTTCCATCCTAATCACTGAAGACTGAAATGTTGAACGTATTGCTTATAGGCGCGCAAGCGTTTCAGGGTCGAAAACGGGTGTTAATTTCTCTAGGGACCCAAGGAAGTAGTTATTATATCAGTTTTCCTTCAAATCTGGAAGTGTTGGGAGGTGGGGTAAGCATTGTTGAGGTTTAGGGAGTCTTGAATAACTGGTTCGATTACAATGAAAGGCCAGTTGTTATTGTTCGATATCTTGGTATACCAAGATATCGATCTAATTATAATTAGATCTAACGATCACTATACTAATATGCATATCCTAAATTGACCTCAGATTTGTTTTGTGTTTATATTATCAAGGACTTACATTAGTTTTTATATGCCCCACTTCGGTATGTATTCTTTCATCCGAATGCTCAGGTATCCCTGAGCAAGTTATCGATAACTTACCGATCGGTAAGTTTTTTTGTAATAAGTTTTATGGGACGATCAAAATTTCGGGTGATTAAACGCTTATGAAACTAGGCCAGTCATTATGTAAAACGTAGAGCTAACTGCAGGGAAAACGCGGAGTTATTTAACAATTAGTGTTACTTCAGATCTCCACCTTTTTAATCCAAGATCAAGGATTATATTGAGTAGGAAATATTCATATTTTCTTGACTTTTCAGTTAGCCTACTATGTCCTGTAAGCTATTTTGTCTATTCCAAGGGAAAAGTGTATTGAGTTGAAGGTTTTCTGGCACCCTGAGTACTACCTTGAAGTCTGGTGAAACTGTAATTAATGGACGACATTTGAGCAACGCTAAAAAGTCCTTGAGAATGTCCACGTACATACTACGGCTAAATCAGGATTATAAACCAGTATGAGGAGTTAAGATTAATATTTACAGTTGATATATCAACCTAACTATAGTTAGGTTTAGGAATTAGATCTCAAGTTTTAATCACTTACTGACATCAGCTATAATGCCAAAACTCTATTTAACCAAATGGATGAATTTGCGCCAAAATTCGAAACATGTTATCCTAAATCTGGTTCGTCCATAAATTATTCTCTCGCCTGAAGTCTTATAGTTTTTGATATAGCGACTTAATTTTCGAACTAATTCATTCCTCATTCAGTCAGTCAGTCAGTCAGTAACAACGTAGAACTTCGTACGTACGTACATCAGTTCGAGTTGCCACACCACATTAGCACAGAGATGCAGTGGTCGATTCAAATCCCGTAGTGGTAGAGGTAGCAAGAGTATAAGCAGTAATCGGGAAGATTAGGGTTTGGAGATGTTATTTAAAGAGTATAATCCAGTGAAAGAAATTTGGAAAGAGGGAAAAAGGGACATGAAGAATTCAGAAGATTAGAGTTTTGGAGAACACAGAGAGTGGATGCACCTGCGCCATTGCGAACGATTTTGAGCCATGTCATTCAGGGTCTCTAACCATCGGTTGCTGTCATCTCGCGGTCCCCAACCAGGTAGTCTACACCTACCAACATGACTCAGTTCACTTGTCACTGACTTCATGGACTTGTGCCATGTGCCTCATTAATATCGTCACGGGAATCACACATAGCAGTTCTCTAAATACGTGTCGGGAGTTTCCAGTTTACTTTGTACCAGTTTTTGGCTTACACACTTTTCATATTTTAGATCTTACCAGTGCCGTACATGTTAGTATTTTTTGTAAAAGTGCCTTTAGAGGCTCATAGCGTCATACTACTTGTAAATTCAACAAAACGGTGGAGGTTCATAGCATTTTAGCTGTATCTTACATCAAGTCCTTAGTCGTTGTGAGTACAAACTAAATGCTGAGCTAATCGCCAATTTCGAAGAAACATGTACTACTGCCTCTCATTTATTGATTGCCTAAACGATTAAAGGAACTTTTTGTTGTCTACCAAATGATAACTTCTTTAATCACTGAGACATCACAAGTATAACGTTCAGCCTTTGGTAGGTTTTCGTCTAGCCTAAAGGTACCTGGGGGAGTGTGAAGAGCATTATGTGAGGTTATTTGGAAGAGAAAAGAGTAGTCGGCAACTCAGTAAGCACATAGAATGCACTTACATTTAATAACGAAGGCAATAGACAATAATAAAAAACAACACGAGGGTGAGATTAAGGCAATCTGGTAATCGAAGCTAAGAGTTGATAGTTTACGGTTCCAAACACTTTACACATATTCTTATCAAATTAGTCAGACAGTCGATATAAACGAAATCATCTAAATGTACGTTCGGAATTAATTAAAGCAAGAGGCATGCTCTGTCAAGCGTTCTTGGGCAGTGTTATTATTCTGCTTAAAGTGGAAATTTTGGTCAGCTGAGGCCTTTGGATAGAATATGAAACTTATATTTGTAATTTGACTTGTGATAGCTGAGTTCACCATAATTTCGGGTCCTCTGCTTAGAGTGATCCTATTTATTCGTACTAGATTAGTTTTATTCGAGGAGCAACTTGTAGTCGTAATTTCGTTAAATTACAGTATTAATAACCTAATATGCAACCAGCTGTTGTCTTGTGATATCTGTTATATCACAGATTACATGTGTAATATAAACTGTTCAACGGCCTCAGTCAAATCAACTTTCGAGTAAACTCATTCCGATACCTTAGTAGTCGATTGACCCGCCATGTTATGATGCATGCTAAATAATATCCTGAAGTTTTCTACATATACAGTAGCTGGTTGGTTTTCATTGCCTTATTAAAAGTAATAACATTAAACAATTTAACAGGTTCGCCATTTTATAGTCAGTAAAATATGTGCATATAATCAAACATAGATACATTAAAAATATTTCAAAAGTGGATAAACCAGGCAAATAAAGATAATTACATGCTGAATTCCATTTACACCGGTGAGAGTTTGTAATTAAATACTGATATTAAGCGTTCGTAAGAGTTTGTGTTCTAATTGTAGAGGGTTGTAATTCCCTTTTATTCCTATTCATTTTAGCACTAGAAATGACGGATGTAGTAGAAGCTCGAAGATGTTTTGGATGTCGTGTTATTTTCGAGACAGATGACGAATTTTGGCATCATATATTAAATGTGGATTGTAGTAGCTCGATAAGCTCACCGAGTTTGGGGAAAGATGTATCCTTACCTTGTTCAAGCCAAGACGATAATAGACCATTGAAAAGTACACCGTCAGATGAGTTATGTTTTTGTAGTTTGTGTGACAAGTGGTTTGTATCAAAGGCACAGTTCCATGAACATTTTTCTTCTGCAGAACATGAGCAGAAATCCAAGTTGGCTGCCAAAGTTCGTTTTAGTTCCGATGTCAATACAGGTAGCGAGAATGTACAGTCACACTTGTTTTGCGATACTTGTCAAATAAGTTTGTCGTCTGCTCAGGCCAAAGAGGCTCATCTCGCTGGTAAGAAGCATAATAAGATGTGTAATCGTCAATCGAGCTCCGTAAACACACAAGGGGATTCGCATGTTACTCTCAAAAAGGGGCACACAAACAATCAAGAAGTTTTAGAAAGGTTAGTGGGTGATTACGGTCAGTTATCGTCAACGAGTTCTGACAACTCTCATTCATCTGATAAAAATACCAGTCATGTCGTTCCTCAGTTTCGTACTGACGACGAGAACGATATTATACGTTTACTGCGTCGACTCTGTTTGACCCAAATACTATCACTTTTATTGAGTGTAAGTGAGGATTCATCGGTACACGTAGAAGGCAGTTGTAACAAGGTACAGTCGAAATATTCTTTGAAAGAGAAAGATCTACTTGAATTGACGAGAACAGTATGTAAAGAAGAATTACGCGCTATACTCCCACAGTCTTTACAACACATCATTTCTCAGACAAAAAACGCAGGTGACTAAATTTGCTGTAGGTTATTCTTATTGATGTTAATTTCATTACAATCGTTCATCTTATCCATAATTTTTACAAAGAAAGAAGTACTTGCTTTCTAGGAAATATATTTTCTCTACCATTTTTTAGAAGCTTCTGTTTTTCCATCAAATTCAGAAATTATTTTTATTTGTATTTAAAGTATTTCAGATTTAAATTAATCGAATTCTACGTTCACTTCTTGTTACTAATTATTTATTTCCATTTTTATCTTTCATATTCTTGTTTCAAGTATTGGGTTTGCGATCAGTTGACTCGACAGCGTTTTTGTAGAAATGAAAATGAGGAGACATAGTTTAGGGATGAGGACTACCTGTTGATATATGGTAATTGTATTTTCAGCAGTTGTTCACGATATAAGGACTCATTTTGAAAATCCTTAAGTGCTTGGTGATCAGATTTTCTCTGTAACTGTAAGTTAGAGACTCATAATAAGTTAAATGCATTTCAACTTTGCTTGGCGGGACTGCTTTCATGTGCGATGATAAAATGCATATGGGATTACAAACGAAAAGGATAGGAACGGTTATTTCTCGTCCTCATCCTATGGTATTTAAACATTGGAATTAAAAGTAAAGTTTAATGAATTTTAAAACACAATGTGATAGATGAAGACTGCCTGTGTATTCAGTCATGATTCAGAAAGAGTTATGACATATTAATGTACTGTAAATAGATACCTTGTTTAGTATAAATTCGTGTAAATTTTTATAAAGCGTTTGGAGTGAAAAAAATTGATGTATTCAAGTCAATGGATATCAACAATTTAAAAATACACTATAAAATGGTTCAAAGTTGATTGCATACAGATCATCTCAGAAACGTAGTAATGAGTAGGGAATATGCAAATTTATTAAACTGAAATATCATTAGTTACTTTGGTTTCGTGCAATTATGACATCTTGTGATTACGGATTTAATGATCCTTACTGTAGGTCAGCCAGTTTGGGGAGTTGTCACAAGCGATTTATTAATATATACACCCTGAATTTCTGTTCAGTGTATTTATTTTACATAACTAGTCTGATTGATCCCTATTGTATTTTTAATCGCATTTTAGAGTACATCAATGTTTTCATGTGGCTTTATTTTTTAACTAGTTTGAAAGGAAATTTCAGTAATTTGACAGGTTTGACAAGATTTCGCTAACTTACATGACGTGTATTACAATCTGAATTATCTAGTATATTAAAGGACTATTAAATGCCTGGTAGTTTGCTAAAAAGTGCTGTGTCGAAAATAAGGTTTGGTTGAATAACAGTACGCACCTAGACTAAAGATTTTGATCGAAACTTTTTTCTCTGTCGTGCTAAATTAAACCAAGGAAATATCCGAGAAAAATGTGAGTTCTTGAACTTACTGCTAATCAGACTAATAGGATATGGTGTATGATAAGTCAGTAACTAAACATCAATTTACCCAGTGTGGATTTTTATAGCGTTGATCTACATAATAGGACATGGTACTAGGTACTTCTGAGATTGTAGGAAAACGCATTGTGAACCTGGGGAACGGTCATATCAGTTAACGATCATGATCACCATAGGACTTGATATGAGTGCATGCCAGTTCAAGTTGAGCGAACTCCAGTAAGAAATCTTTCATTTCTTGGTGCTTTCCAGAACAACAGTTAATGACTTGATCCTCTATCCTGATCATTCTGTTCCTAAGTTATCCCCAACTATTCCCCTATCGGATAGTATTGTATATTAAAGTAAACAATAGTATATTTACAGATTGGTGTACTATGTTGAGAATCGCAACCTCAATAATAGATTTGCTATCTCTGCCTAGCACTCTACACTGAACTTCAGGTTTGCTCCCTCAGTATTTCCACCATAAGCGGACGGTGCTGTAAAGACATAGTTGAATACTTAAAACCTACTCGTGTATTCTACTCTCTAAGGTCATATTTTGTCATCGTAAAGCAATGCGACAGTGTTGCTTGGTATTTCTACCTCCTGATTAGATGAACACCACACCGACGTGGGCGGTGTGACTTAATAGAAAACAGGCGGGAGGGTTGTATATTTGCCAAATTTTTACCAGTCACAGACTGATTAGGGCTGGTGAGACTTCTAGTACGGATGTACAAATCAATAGGAACGACGCGCTGATATGTGAAACGCAGATATATGGTGAACTGCCATTGATTCTAAATAAATCCAAATATTATTATTATTATTATTAATGGCTTTATTCAATATTATATTTTGGTACAGTATAGAATTCTCAACACAGGGTATTTCAACAAGTTACTTACTGAACAACGAACAAAAAAGGCAGTAGCGAATACATAAAGAAATATATAAAATAAAAATTAAAAAAACCCAAAAGAAACTACAAACTTTTAAAATTAAAGACATGTTAAGAATGTAAGTTATTGACTAAGTTAATTCTAACAACCTGTTCGTCACAGAGTATATTTGCTAGGTAAGGTATTATAGAACTTTTATACTTTTCTTTGCGTGCAAGGATTTTAATGTAATTACGTCTCGTTCTACCAGAAGATATACAAGGAGAAAGATAAGAGTGAAGGGGATGGCTAGTATCTGATAAAATAACACCTGCCAGGAGTTTGCATGATTTTAAATGTCTGTCCACAACCATATTAATTATGACCTCGAAAGATTCACCACACGTCTTACTAACTGCCTTTAGCACTCTTCGCAATACAGCATAGTCTTTTCTCAAAAGCCCGGGAAAGAATAATGGAGAACAGTAAAGAATAATAGGTAATATGCAAGAATTGACAAATTGTAAGAGAAAATGACGAGTAATTCCAAGAGCATGCAATCTCTTTATGTAGTAGGTCAGACGGAAAACCTTCTTTGATAACGATAAAACGTGGGAAGACCAAGGCAGATCAGAGGAAAAGGTGACACCAAGATAATTGACCTTCGACACCGCGTTTATCAAAGAGTCTCCGATGGTACAAGCACTATGGGATCTCAAAATAGTGTTTATATTCCGTTCATGTCTCATACTAAAGTTAACAGCTTGACATTTAGATGGATTAAGTATGAGACCATTACCAACAGACCAACAATCAATACGAGACAAAAACTCATTCATTTCTATGGGATGTAAAGAGGAAGATACAGTACGGAAGCGTCTCAACTGTCATAGATATAATACTATCAATACAAATACAGTGAGAATAATGAGTTTGTAGTCGAATTGGGATTACCAATTGTAGCGTGGCGTCGAGTTGAGGTTAACTATGAACACCGCTACCAAGAAACACGTGCCAAGCGTATCAGAAGGCGTAAGAAGCTCGTTCCAAATGACTCCATAAAATCCCTGAGAAGCCGAATACCAGAAGGCAATTAATGGACCCAGTCGATTTTTATTTGCTGGCGATCTCGTGGCATCGAAAGGATACCGAGATCGTGCCAGGATACAAGCTTGGTTACAGAACGTAACCGAATTCGCGCGAAGTTACAATCGAAGTGTAAGCGAAAGAATGGAAGCAGAAAATAGCTGTCATTAGCACAGTCAAACAAAAGCACGTTAAAACAAACACTGGTACAGTTGGTTATAATAATAATTGTTTTTATTAAACCAGTCGTGTTCTCGTGATAAACGTGAGTCACTACAGGAGCCCCCCGCTAGAAAGGGTTTACACTTTCGATAAATAGCGGTTTGAATCGTGGGACTGATCGGCTGATGAGCGATTGTAGGACGGAAGAATTGGCGAACAGGAAAGCGATCGTTGATCGTCGAGTTGCCAACGAAGGTCGTTATCGGAGAACGGTACCAGGAGCGATGTGTTGTATTTGTTGCTTGAGTTGGCATGCTACACCAGAGTGGTTTGTATCCAGAATCTGAAGAGGGCGTTCGTAGAGGTGCGCACCAGAAACGCTGCAGACGTAGGACGAAACCACGTTGAGCCAAAAGCCAGAAGCGACCGTTACGACCAAGCGTGTGCCAAGCATTCGAAACCAATGTATCGACTGAGTGCGTTGACAAGAGCATGGGTGATCAGGCCAGCTTTCGCCAAAGTTGACTGAAGTCGACGGAACCAAACGGGGATGGTCGAAGGCGTGGGCTCAGGAAACAAAAAGAAAATCAAAAAAAGAAGAGTGTAGCATACGTGTAGTATAGGAATAATCCTACACCGTATCGGTAGTTGACTGTGCGACTATTCGCGGAAGCGTACGGGCAACCGTACTCGGCGACCGGAACGTGAGACGGCAGTCTCGTTCGTATTTCGTGAGCCTGCAATCTCATCCGAAGTCAAGGGCGGCGTGGTCTGCTGATCTGGACGTGAGACTGTCGTCTCGTCCGTAGACGGTGCAGATGACGCGTGCTGTTGACTGGGACGTGAGAATGAGGTCTCAGATGCATCTAGCGTGGGACCTGAAGAAGATTTAAGGATCCCGCTAGGTTTGATAGGTCTAGCATTGAATCTCAGGGTGTCAGATAGGGCACTGTCATCGACGTGTGCTGGTTTGAGACGATCAATGCTGACGATCTCGACGCGCCCATATCGATCAACCTTGAAGGTCTTTTCGTGACGAGCGATCACGTGAAAAGGGCCTTCGTAAGGTTGTTGCCAAGGTTTGCGTACCGAATCTACTCGTACAAAAACATGTGAACAGGTAGATAACTCTCGAGAGAGAGCGACCTGTCGATGTTGTATTCGAGTTGACACCGGAGACAGCGTTCGCATAAATGCAGACAGTCGATGGACGTAGTCTGATTTACCGAAATTAGGTCTGCTCCGTGGTGTGAAGAATTCTCCGGGCAGACGCAATGTCGTGCCGTATACAAGTTCAATGGCGGAACATTGGATATCTGCCTTTAAGCTCGTTCTCGCCCCTAAAAGAACGAGCGGTATGGTTTCGTGCCAGTTGCCGTTTTCGTGTGCTCGGAGAACACTTTTAAGTTGGCAGTGAAACCGTTCAACTTAACCATTTGGTGCTGGGTGGTAGATGGATATGCTTATGCGTATGCATTCCGTACC